AGGTTTGGGTGCCTTTTTATTACTGCCCTTCTTACGTTTCTCCTTTACTGGGTTTTCTCCATGTCAACTGACTCTTGTCCAGAGAATAACTTGTTTGACACATGCTTGGAAATGCTGCTTAAATTCGACTCATTACAGTATAAATTTGGCTTTTCTTCCTTTGTACCAACATCCCCTCCAGAAACCTTAGCAAATAATGACTTCTCTTGTTTTGCAGCAACTGGATTAGATTCTTTCTTTGAGTTGTCTTCTGTTTCAGACAACCCTATTTCAAGATCAAGTTCAGCACCCTTATCTTCTGCATTTAATAGACCCATCCTAATGTTACAAACCTAATGCAATCTATAATCTATCTCCTATTGTCACACAACAAAGTTACAAGAGCCAAAAAATTTCTGCCAAACGCAGCTCCTAACAGCTTCTCTGACATAAAATTATACGGTAAGGACCAACAATGACCAAAACTATCAAGAAATAACTTCTGTTCTACTCACGACCACAACTGAGAATCTAAGAAACCTCAAACTGGCCACGTTTCAATATATATATATATAGATGGCAAATTCTCAGTGTCAACTGCTAGCTGCACAATTATTTCTTTTGAAGCCCTTCTGTCAAAATCTCATGTGAATTGAATATAATTTCCAACCACTCCAATGCAATTCCGATACTGAACTAACCCTGCATTATAAGGTCAAGATTAAACCGGTTATTGGAAATCCAGAAACAGCAAGCTAAAAGCACCATTCACAAATTAAATTACAGAAAAAGATTACAAGAAAAAAACAAAATCAGGAAAACCCCGACAAAAAAGCAAGGGATAGCACAACCAGAAAAACGTGCACGGGCCCAACAAAAGCACCAAAGTTCATCTCAGACCTAACCACGGAAGGAGGGGAAGACAAGAACAATACTCAATCAATCAACCCCACAAAATGTAGCAAAAACAAATCTCTCACTGCCCACATCATATGAAGATACATTTCGCCTAAAGATGCCAAAAAGTCCCACATAAATCAAAAGATTGAAAACCCACAAAAATCCAAAACCCAACAGCATGAAACTAGGGTCCGCCATCATAATAACATCAAACAACAAACAAACACGAACAAGAAGAAAAGTTGAGAAAAACCTCTAAGAGAAAAAAGGAAGAGCCCCAGATCCGATGATAGGCCAAGAATGGGAGAGTTAAAATCCCGGAGGTAAAGAAAACCAGAGATAATAAACGAACAAGACGGGTAAAGGAAATAACCGGGAAAGCACTGAACTTGCTTTGTTCCCCAGGGAGATCAGTTTGATTCATTCAAAACGCCATATTTATAAACCAAAATCAAAACAAGAACATGTGTGCCTTGTTGGGTACTATGGAATTGCTAGGAAGCCAAGGATTGAAGAAATGCCTCGCCGACAGTTGCCAGCTTGGCATTGTCTTCCGTGGCCCTCAATTTAATCCTTTTTCCTTTTATAAATTCCCCTTATTTAGTCATCTTCATTTTTTCTTTTCCTTCAAAATTAGTTCTTTTTCCTTAAATTTTCCATCTACCTTTTCTTTTTAGAATTTCACTCTTTTTTTTTTGGTAATAGAGTTTTACATTTTTAATCAATCTATTTTGACTCTCAACTTTTAGGGAGGTTATGTGGCCAAAAATGAAAGGTTTTTGGGAGGTTACTGGGTTAGGTAAAAAAATATTTTTTACTATATATTATACTCCTATTTGTCACAAAAATATTATTGTTATTATTATTTAAAAATAATTTTTATTTTTAATTTCACCATTCGTATTTATTAATAGTAGATGATAAAGATGAGACAATAGATATGTAATTCGAATTATTTTATGTTTTTTAAATAGCAAAAAATTAGTACTATATATTTATAAAATATGTTTTATTACAAGCTTATGAAGATATTGAGACTAAACAACTAGCTGGGAAAGAATGGGACGCCGATGTGGGGTGCAACAGAAACAAATAAACATGAATAGCTTAAATTTATCTGTCAAATATAAAAATATTTTATCTTATTTTTCATTGCAACTAAGTTATTTAAATTTATTCTTTACACTCTTAAAAATTCATGAATGCGTTTTCTTTTATCTATGAATGATACTTATCCTTGATAGAGCACCAAGGATCGATCTCGTTCACATGGGAAATAAGTGTAATTAATGAAGAAATCTACGAATATTTGCAATATATTTGAATCATGTGATTCAATAACTGGCAATCATTTTAATCTTTTAATGCCGCATAATAATTACAATGATGAGTGTAAACAAATCGTGTCGATTTCTAAGTTATTTTAGTTTACTTTGTTAATAAATACACCAAATAGTTATATTATTAAGCAATAAGCAATAGCCTAATTTGGTCAAAAAAATTGAATATAGAGTTTTCTATCCACTCAAATTAAAGGAATAGCGATTCCTTCATTCATTCAACTGATGAAAAGAATTTGTCAATGTGTATAAAAATTCCATAGAATTTAAACAATTTTTTATCTAATTGCATTTTTTGTCATATAAATTATTTTTATTTATATTTTTTCATTAGTTGTATACCATCAAATATACAAATTATATTTTATTATTTGTGTTTCTTCCTATAAAAAAGGGACTTATGTACAAGCCACAAATAACAAACATATTTACAATTAAGACATGCAAAATAAAGAAATTGCAACCAAATCTCTCAAGACTTGCATGTAATTTGTAGTTGTGATGCAAAGACAAAATTACTTTTATTAAAATATATTAAATTATATCTAAAAAAAAGTTGCATTTGTATTTATAAAATGTAAAATATGACTTGTAATTAAAATTTTTTATTTATAAATTTGAAGTTGTAGCTGTTATGAAGAGTAAACATAATGTTAGTCTATTATTTATAAAGCAAAAAATATGATTAGTGAATTAAAAATTTTTATTTATAAATTGTGAGGTTACAATTGTAGGTGAAAAATAAATATGACTTCAATTTATTATTTATAAAAATTAAAATATAACTTGTAAATTAATAATTCCTTCTTATAAATTATGAAATTACAATTATAAATAAAAGGTAAATATGACTTCAATATATCATTTTTAGTAAGTATGAGCATAAAGATCTTTTTACTTAAACTTTTAACTACACTTAGGTACCAAAAAATTTAGTTATATTTTTATAAACTAATACTAATTCCACCGCATGTTACATGGGAAGCATTTGATACAAGTATCATTATATATACACACACACAAGTAAATATTAACTCCATGGTCTCAATAAAAAAATGTTACTTGAGAAAAATCTTATTTATAAATTACTTTTAATATATTTTATTAAAATTAAGAAAAATCTTAAAACACATTTACTTTACCTAAAATTTTAATAAGTTTTCCACCTTGCCTTCATTAAATATATATATATATATATTTATATTAATAATATATTATTTCTTTTTAATATTCAATGAAAGTAAGGCGAAAGGAGAAATTTTTGATAAAAATTTAATAATGCTACTTATAAAAAGAATAAAAAAATTCTCTTCCTGGCCTAAAAATTTGCCCCCCTAAATGGACAAAAAACTAACACTTAAATTGTACTCAATTAACAAAATTTTTCAAATAAATGTTACAAAAATATGATCAATTTTTTGAAATCTTTGAAATCTCCCCCCCCCCCAAAAAAAAAGCTTAACTTCTCCTTGTCGTCAAACTACTGCTGCTAGTTAGTTTCTATGAAAATAAAAATACAAAATGGCTCTCTAATAAAAGTATTCAAAACTAGTTTAAACTGATTATATCAAATCAAATCAAATTAAATTGACTATGAATAATGTTTAATTTAATTTTTCTTTTGACAAAATAATTAACTTGATTTGGTTTAAATTTTTGTCTCTTGAAATTTGAACCAAACAAAACCAAATCTTATTATATCTATTTTATATAATTTTATAAATGCCTAAAGTTTTTTCTTTTTTCCCAAATTTTTTTCCACAAAATTTTTCCCAAATTTAGTTATCTGTAAGTTATTGGTTAAAATATGTTCCAATTAATTAAATATTGTCCATAATTATTTATGATTATTTTTTAATTTTATAATCACTTGTTTTAAAAGTAAAATATTAGTTTTCAAATAGTTAAATATACTAAATAATCGTTAAAAAATATTATTTTTGTTTTCAAGATATTTTTTCATTAAAAATACTAATTAATAATTAAAATTATTAGTTAAAATGCCCGTACACATTGATTATAAAAAAATCTAAAAAATAAATTTAATTTAAATTTAAATCAAACCATTCAAAAATCAAACGAAATTGATCTGGAAAAAGAAACTGAAAAGATTTCAATCTTTGGTGAATCTATTGGTTAGATTTAATTTGATTTTTCTTCAAAACCAAATCAAACACATAAACACCTTTATTGAGGTAGAAAATGCGTTTGTGACGTGGAATAATCCTTTAAAGCTGAAGATCCAATTATTGAGGAGGCTCATTTGCATGATGATCACGTGGGGTGTACTCCCACCTAATAATTTAATAGTATCTAATAATCCAATAAATAAGTTACAATTGTATGTGCACATTTATAGTACAAGATCCCAGATCAAGGACACAATTTTATTTATTTAAAATTTTAACTTAAGAAGACTTTTATTTATTTATTCAGTTTTTTTTATAAATCATTTTTACTAATCCTATCAATGTAATCCTATCAATTAAAATATAAAAAAAAAGAAATAAAAGTATATAAAATTCTTAATATACCTTTATAAAATAAATTCAAAAAATAATATCATATTAATTTTTTTCTTTTATAAATAATAATTTTAAAAATAATTTTTAACTATTAATTAAAAAGTTGCACTACAATTTATAAATAAGATTAAATAAATTTTGTAAAATGTGGCTTATAAATGAAACTTGATGAAGTATTGGGCAAAATATGACACGAAAGAAATTCATCACTGTGGTGGTATAAAAATTATTTATCAGACTACAAGACACGACCATGTTGCGCTGCCGGCAAAATTGTTTATCATTGATTTATTGATTTAAGTTACAGATTGATTATTAACAAACGTATGAGAATTAAAAAGGAAATCTCTAACATGGTTTTAGCTACGAAGGTTGAAAAAGTTTCAAAAGTAGAAACGGTACTTAAAACTTGAAAATAGCAGCACCACTTGATGGCTTGGAGGCAAATACATAAAGTCCAAGCTCATTCTTGTTGATTACCCCCTTGTCAATCCTAGACTGGAAAAATTGTTCCTGCAATAGATGTCCAGAATCCAGCATTATTAACCACATGTTAATTCCAATGATTAAAAACAATGTCTAAGAATTATCAAGAGACCTTCAAATTTAGGATATATTGTGGGACCAGGCTCTCTTTCACCAAAGAGACAGTACAACCACCCCATCCGGCCCCGGTAAGCCTCGCCCCCAGAGCGCCATTTTTGCGGCATATGTTTACAAGTTCTTCCAATTCTGGACAGCTGATTGCCAAAACAAGCAGAGAAAAAACAACATTAAAAGTAGATCATGTAAAGAAAGACCACATTGTTCAGTTTTATGAGATGATTTGGTTTGAAAGTTTTATACGATAGATAATACCTCTAAAACAGCAAGCATACAAAACAAACTTTCATGATTGCAATAAGTTAATAAAGGAAGAAGCAAACTTATCATCTTAAAAAACAAGCAAACAACACATACCTGCATTCATATAAAACACTGCAGCTATAATGGCTCTCATTCATCAAGTCACCAAGCTTTTTGAGTGTTTCAGCCTCACTGAAAGATAATGCATCAATGAGATGTTAAAAAATTTGACATCCTTAAAAAAAAAAAAAAACAGAGACAGAAAGAAAGAAATGCAATTCAAACCAGAGATGAATCATCAAAAGGTTTTAATGAAGATAAAGAAATAAAATGTCAAACAACAGTGTAATCATACAGATTTCATCATAGGAGAAGGCCCTCATCTAAATGTAAATGATTAAAGCTGGGCAGCATTTTGCAAAAAATTGCAACAAAAACATTTCAACGTCTCCAAGTCAAGGCAATAAAAATGGCAGGATATGTCATCAATCCAAGAGTTTTTTAGCACATCAATACAAGCTTCAATATTCGAACTTAATCATTTTACGTTAAGGACTGCCAAATATTTAATCAATTTTTCAGCCCAGAAATATCTATTGCTTAAGTCATGCAAAAATCAAAGAGCATTTATGGAAAGATAAGGCTGTGACCACTTCCAGAAGACTTACCTTAAATTTGACGATACAATGTCCTTGAAAGCATGTACCCTCCTGGCTTCTGAGTACACATGGGCAGCTCTCTAGACGCAAAACGTATCAGAATTATATCACACAAATTGTAGCAACAAGATAGTAAATCGTAAAGAAATAAATTATAATTGGCACCATGCAAAACAAAAGCCACAAGAAAATCATAGATGTTAAACAATTAGAGCAAGTAATACATGAATTCCTTCCAGATACCAACAAATAGCCTAGCAGCAGTTATAAATAAAAATCCAGAATTAACATGGAGGACTAAGCATCAAGCCATTGGACAAAACGGTTAAAAGTAAAAAGGAAAAGCACTTATATAAAGATCTCCACATTGAGGGTAACTTCCCTAAAGGGACTCATAAGAAATACCTGATGTAACTTGTAGTGCTTAGCAACTTTTAGAACATCCAAATAAGCTGCATTATTGCCCAAAAATGAGGTAAGCTTTTCCCCAGTAATTTTCTCAATCTCTTCAACTGCATATGGCTCTTCCTTCAAAAATTCCTGTATCCAAGAGATTTTATCATAATTTAAACAAAAACGTAAACTAAATAAATCCGTATTGATCAAAACAGCATGTTATTTTATGCTCAGATCAGAAGGATTTTAAGAATTAGAAAATTCAACCGACAGCGAAGGATTTCATAATGCCACGTTAAATTACCTTGACAGCAAGGACAGGATCAGATGAATTATGTTTACCAGCAAACGTTACACATAACCCTTCTACGTCAGACAATGTTTTCACTTTTGATATTGCCTCCTGTGGCTTCATTCCCAGTTTTATGCCGAGCACAATCTGGAGCAGCATTCGATAGCACAAATGTGAGCTTGAAAATATAATTGGCAATAAGGAGTCAAAAGTTACAGATCTACCTAGACAACTAGCTTTCTATTAGTATGGACACAATGAGACCCAAAAGAAAAGCTAATTCAAAGCTTAGAGCTAGAGAGAGGGGGAATGATATGGCATTGGCAATAAGGAGCTAAAAGATACAGATCTAACTAGACAACTGGCTTTCTATAAGTAAAATGGGACCCAAAAAAAAAAAAGCTAATTCAAAGCTTAAGGACTGAGGGAAATGATAAGGTAACACAGACAAAGGAGAACAGAACAAGAAGGTTGACTCTTGACTCCATCCCACCCCTTCTCACCAGCTTTATCATAGTCCACAATGTTTCAAGTAATGACAGTTGAGAGCAAATACAAACAATCTTATCATAGAGTACTTACAGAAGCCAGACGACATTCAACAACCCTATTATTATAATTGGTAGCAGCAGTCACAGCCTTTTGAGACTCTGCTAAAGAATGGGCAATTACGAAAGTCCCACCAGCAGGAAGTTGCACATCCGTAGCACGAATGGGGTTGAAATCAATAAGCTCAGCAAACCCAGTCTTGGCCATAACAGAGATTGCCTGTCAAATAAAACCCAAAAAAAAAAAAAATCATTGGTTTTAGCACAATGTTATAATGGTTTAAGAGCTCTACAAAACCCATATTGGGGAAGCCCATGCTGAAATCCTAAACTATAATAGCAATAAATCAATTATGAAAATACCTAAGATAACACTTGATAGAAATCAAAACAATGCAACAGACTTGCTTTAATAATGAGGCCTCAAACACATAAATTTACCAATAATTAGTCTCTAAACCCTCAATTTCATTTCCCATTTAAATCGGATTCCAATTTGTTACCGACAACAACTCAGCTTTCAAAAGTTGAATATCTGATATTGTATAGCCTTTTTGGCCTAAAAAGAACGTAACAGAAAAGGGTAAATGAAAAAACGAAGTCTATATTAGATACTTGAATGTCTTTTACGTTAATTTATTATGAATAATATAGAACAAAGAGTATATCCTATGAACATCTCAGCTGCTTTACTAGAATCGAAGTTAAAAGTTAAAACTAATCAACCATTAAAATTCATGAGAAAACACCTACAAAACCAAAAGAGGCAATACTTGGGAAATTACTTGAAGAAAAAGACCATGATAGGACAAGCCACCGAGACATAATCAAATTATATATAAAAAGTAGCATAACTTAAATGAAAGATGTCTACAACCTGATCCATCCCACCAGATTGTGTTCCAACATGCCTTTCACATTCACAAGTAACTTGTGCAAGTTCTTTCTGCAAACAATATGAGAATGTTAGAACTTATGAAACATAAATTGTCGGACAAAGAAGAATATCAAATATACTCTACAGAAAAGCATGCTTCCAATGCAAGCATGGGGTAATTTTGTCCATGTCAAAGGTAATTATAAAGTATGATGGTAGTAGGTAAATTACAAAGGCTAAATTATTCCCCAAAACGATGAAAGTTTATCTCATTCTAATACAAACACTAACTAACTAACTATGTATGTTATTTATAATCCATGAAAAAAATAAAGATTCATATGAATTCAGTTTCAATTGTCACAAAATTTAGGAAATAGAAACAAACTGCAAGTGAAACTCCAATAATACAATCAAACCACAAGTAAACCGATATCAACTTTTACCTACATTCCAAACATCCAACTAAAAACACTTGTTCCTTGTCAAATTGAAACATAAAGAGATATCAGGATCATTAATGTAGCATCCACATTGTTCCCATTCACGTGACATAGATGTGGTAGAACGAAAGTGAAAGCCCTCAAAGTACAAACTAGAATCCATGACTTACCTTTGCAAAATTCACTCCAAAGGCAGCCATGATGGCAATTGTAGAAGAACAGACAAATGCTGCAGAGCTTGATAGCCCAGAACCTGTATAAACAGTTTATATTGTTTGTTGAATTTAACTCCATCTACAACGAAAGACTTTCTGTCATAGTATTGAAGATGATGAAAACAAACCTTGAGGAACTATTCCATCAACAAGAACATCAAGTCCAACTTTTTTACTAACATCCACTCCTTTTGATTTTGCATATTCGTAATAACCTTTGTACCTACAAAAACCATAATGTCAGCGTAGAATAAATTAAACGGTAATGAACAGTTATTGTATGCAGTGAGCACTTTCTTTGAAGACAGGATTTAGGCTCATCAGATACTTATAACTATAGACCTAATGGCTAAAACGAAATATATTTTTTGTCAAAGAATGGATCTGGAGGGGGGCAGGCAGGGGAAAATTAGGACTGATTTTTCTTGTAAATAATGGGGAAATTAATTCTAGCTCGCATTTTTCTTTTTTTTTTTTTCTTTTTTTCTTTTGGAATTTGAAATTAGGCCCCCGACATACATAACTCTAGATCCGTCCCCAGTCAGACTAGATCGAACAGCACATCATAAAAATTCATCTAAATTGCAACAGAAATATAGAATTTTCTGACTCACCCACATATGAAATAATGGCCCCATTTGTGATTCTTCAAGTCGAGTGCCTATGTAAAAACCCAAGCAACAGCAGATAAATTAGCAGATGAATTTGACCGGAAATCTTAACCATCAGAACAAGCTTATTTCCAAAATGTAAAATAATGAAGCACGATGCATTCCTAAAGGCTCTTTATGTTATCAGTGTTTTAACTTTGAGGGTAAAACCAACAGGGTCCCACATTAATAGGCAGTAAAGTGGAAATAGACGTAAAAACCCACCTACCTGGTCAGGATCAGCTGGATAAATACACATACTATGTTTTTCATCATTCACGTTAGCAATTCTAAGAATATTGTCGGCATTATTTTTCCGAATTGCCACGATCGTATCTTGCCGAATTGCCATCGGCAAAACTGAATATCCTTCGTAGTCAATATGCTCCCCGATTAAGTTCACTCTACCTGCAACCCACAAAACACAATAAGTTTTCATAATACTAGTAATCAAGAAAAACCAACAGCTAACGAGTTATAAGTTTATAACAATCATACGTTCTTTTTTTCTCAGGCGATCCAATGTTCGATTTTTCTCATTTTTCTCATAGTTAAACGATAAATAACAGATAGAGAAAGAGAGGGGAAGAACCTGGTGAACGGGCGAAGAGTTCAGGAGGATGACCGAAAACTTTTTGAAACTTGGACTTCAAATTGTCAAAACGAAGCTTGGCCTCTTCGAGCTGAGATCCTCCACCATAGACAGGGTCCAGTGAAGCAAAAATAGGAACCGGAAGATCTTCGTGTTTCGCCATCGTTGCAAGAGGACTCCGCACCCGAGATTTCTCTATCCGCTCCTATAGACTCCCTCGAGAAACTTTTGCCGAGTGCACCGAAGCCTGCATTATTGTATCATCATTCTAAATAAAAAATACATTAAAACAGTTTCATATTTGATTGATTGTTTAATAGCTTAATACAGTTTAATTTGAGCAGATTTTATAAGATGAGATGATATTTATTTTATAAATATTTTATAAAAATGGATATTTATTTTGTTTGATTACAATAATAAAAATATTGTTATTTAAATATTTTTAAATTTTATGATATATTTATAAAATTTTAATTATAAAAAATAATTTATTATTTAGTTATTTTAAAATTTTATCATACCTTCATATATTTTCATTATTTTTATAGAATTATCATTTACCTATTGCGTCATATTATTTTTTAAAATTAATTCTTTAGAAAATAATTAAAAATATATTTTCTTTAAATTTTGATTATTTTAAAAATTTTAAATAAATATCATAAAATTTTATAAAATAAGCTTTTTTAAAAAAAATAAATGATTTTTTATTTAAAAAAGTAAGCAAAGAATGTGTTATCTGTTTGTTTATATCTTGTATAAAGGTGGAAATACGAAGAAAAACATGAATTACAGTTATAATTAATAATAATTATTATTATTATGGTAAAAGATTACAATTATGATAGAATCCGTTTTGGGGGGAAATGATTGCGAGGATGAGTGGGATGTGACTTTGGATGAACTGCCACGTGGAACTGACATCGATGATCCGCTCCAACTTTTCAACTTTCCTTTTCTAAATTAAAATTTTGGAAAGTCAGCCTATGTTGCGAAATTTAAGGTTAAATTGCAATTTAGGAGAAAATTCTTTATTTTATATAGGATCACGCGCTGGACTCGCGCCAAGTTAATTCAATTAACTCACAGTCTAGTTTGTTTCTTTTTTATGAAGTATTTATTTTTTATAGTATTAACATGCTATGCCTAGCTGCTAACAGATCAATGTTAGAAATTATGCAGTGGTGATCAACTGTGGCTGGTATTTCTCCTTTCAGGATCAAATCATGACCCATTAAAATAATTTTTTCATAAATGAAGAAAAGAGGGTCGCAGTCAAAACCCTGTAAAAGAAAGCAAAATTAGGTCAATTCATAAGAAGAATATTCATGCCTTCTTAAAAAAAGGTCACTAGAAATATTAACGTCAAAATCAGGATCCGGGACCTATGTTGGGGGCAATTTTAAAAAAAGAAATAAATTTTAAAATTATTTTAATAATTTTAAAAATCAATTGTGTGTGTGTATTTATTACTTTACTAGGTTTGAGTTAAACATATTGAAGAATTTGAATCTAAATTTAGAAAAAAAAAAATCAATAGATTTAATGTTCAAAATGTTAAAAAGATATGATGCAAATTATGAAAAAAGGATACTTCCTCCGTTCAAAAATATAAGACATTTTTAACTGAATCTCACTCCCCAATAAAATAGTTACCTACTTTTCAACTAACCTTATCTTTTTATAGTTACCCCTATTAAACACCTTACAATAAATATAAAGTCACTATCAATAGGGACACTTTTGAAAAAAAGATAATAACTACATCTCAAAAGATTAAAAATATTTTATATTTTTTAACATCCGATTTTTCAAAAAATGTAAAAATGGAGGGAGTACAAAATCTAAAATTTCACAATCATATAGTCTGTATTTTTTTCCAAGTGAAGGGAGCATATGCCTCCTCATTTCTATGTGGCTTGGCCACTAATCAATTATTGCGAGGCCCTTGCTATGCAAGTCTACTTGTGTGCTAATTTTCTTCCTTGAAAACATGATCCAAATAACGATTCAATTCTACAAAATGGTGTTATTAATTTTCTTGATATAATTGATGAACAAGTAGTTTTGGGCATCTTTATACTGAACAAGGAAGATAGCTTCAATATACTTGCAGTAAATATTGACTTGAAATTAGGGATGTTCATGCTTGTTTTGATAAGGTTGGCTTGGCTCTATTCCAATCATGTCAAAATAGATTTATCAAACAAGATGGAACAAAAAAAAAAAGAGTCCGAGATGAGACAAAACACAAAAGCACAATTCTAGATAAAGTGACAATTAACATAGGGTACATGGACTGGTTTGACTTTTTTTTTTTATAAAGAATTCAATAAGAGGATCACGTTTGTGTTGAGTATAGGCCAGTGCTATAGTTTATTTATTTCATATTTGCATATATATATATATATATATATTTGTTAATAATATATAAATATTTTTTAATAATATGTAATAGCTTTAAATATCTCAACTAGAAAGAAAGAACCAGTGATTTAATATTATGTTCGGTTAATCTATTTAAGTTGTATATAAATCAATGATTATGTTATTATTATGCTTGTTGCCTAGAAGTTATTTGTAGTTGTTGTTTACTTGATTTTAATATGTATTTGTATTGGTTTACTTCAAATTATAGTTATTGTAACTTAATAATTGAATTCATATATTATGTTGTTTTGATTTTGGACTTAACAAATTATATAATTTAATAAATATTGTTATTTAAGTCATTTTATTCTTTCACATTTTGTTTGCTTTACGGAACTGTCCTAATCGTGTCCTAATCAGTACGAAGTAATGACAATTGAGAACAAATAAAAATCGTGTGATAAGAGTACTTATAAAAGCCAGACGACATTCTGCTACACTATTGTTATAATTAGCTGCAGCAGTGACAACCTTTCAAGACTCTGCTGAAGAATAAACAACTACAAAATCAATTGATTATGAAAGTTAATGTTGAAATCCTAAAGTGATAAATCAATTATGAAAATACCAAATATGACATTTGATAGGAATCAAAACAATGCAACAGACTTGCTTTAATATTGAGATCTCAAACACATGAATTTTACCAATAGTTAGTCTCCAACCCTCAATTCCACTTCCCATTTAAATTAGATTCCAATCTGTTACTAACAACGTATCAATTTTCACAAGTTGAATATCTAATATTGTATAGCCTTTTTGGCCTAAAAAGAACATAATAGAAAAAGGTAAATAGGAAAAGCAAAGTCTATATTAGATACTTGAATGTCATTTACATTAATTGATAATGAATAATATGGAACAAAGAGCATATCCCATGAACATCTCAGCCGCTTCACTAAAATCTCTGTTAGAAGTTAAAAGTTAAAAGTTAGTCAACCACTAACAATCATGAGAAAACACCAATGAAACCAAAAAAGCAAATGCTAGAGAAATTACTTAAAGAAAAAGACCATATGTTATGAAAAGCCACCAAGACGACGAAACTATATATTGAAAAAAGTATAACTTAAATGAAAGTTGTTTACAAACTGATCCATCCTACCAAACTGTGTTGCAACATGCCTTTCACATTCACAAGTAACTTCTGCAATTTCTTTTCGTGAACAATTCGAGAATGTTAGAACTTCGGAAATATAAATTGTTAGATAAAGAAGAATATCAAATATACTTGAAGTAAAAGCATGCTTTCGGTGCTCTGTCATTGAGAGGCGTTTAATTCACTTAGCTGAGGTAGTTGAATTGATTTAGCTGTGGTATCAAGGATATATAATCACATTAAATAAATATATTAAATGTATCCTTGAGATACCCGTAAAATCATCGTTAATAATAACAGTCTCACATAGCGATGATTTATATTAGTTTAAATGGGTGGTGATAATATCCTCAAGTTTTTTAGGATATTGAACGATAGAATTAAAAAGGGACAATTGTGTTCATGTAAAAGGTAATTATAACATATAATGGTAGTAGGTAAATTACAAAGGCAAAATTATTTCCCAAATCGATGATATTTCATCTTATTCTTTAATAGTATTAGACACTAACTTCCCTTGGGTTCATACTTCTTAATTTCTTGCTAGTTTATTTGGAGAAGGTGTAATGAGAAAATATTTTAGGATAGAGCTATAGCAAACACAATCATTATTGCACAAACCTTGGTTATTATTAATACTTTTATAGATTGTTGTGGCAAATTTAAAGGTACTATGTGCAGGTGTGATCAACTTCGCAAGTGCACAAAATTGATGTAATAATAAATTTGGAGTATTTTGAGTTAAACCCAAAGGAAGATAGTAATCTTTTATTATTTAATAAAACAAATAAGGATTTTTTTGGAAAATATTTAAAAATTAAATAAAGCAAATAAATAAGAAAATCAATGAAAGTGATGAAACCAACCAATTAGATAAGCACCAAGGATCATGATTCACCTATCATAATAGATTATCTTAATTTAGTTAATTATCTTCCTTTCTTTTATGGTATCAACCATTCCTAAGATGTTGTAATTGTAACACCCTCAAATTTACAAACTGATTTTTCGCAAATTATTAATTCAACAAATCATTTTTTTTATTGAACCCTTATCATGGTAGAAAAATTTCTACCATAATACATTCAAGACAATATACCACAGGTCTTAAAATATCTCAAAAAGCAATTAGAACCATGAGGGACAGACATGATCCTCATAGCATGTTATTTAAATCAGGTCATGAATCAAAAGGGACAGACATAATCTTCTTGGACATATAAATACATTTAATAAAAAGGATTAGAGTTTACATGCTCCATAAAGAAGATATGTCTTAAGTTGACACAAGATACATTGTATAATCTAAAATAAGAGGCAACGTAAAAGATGGTGTTTCATACATCATAGTTACACCTCTTGTGCTTTCTCGGCCAGACTCGCTCCTGTAAAAATATTAACCACGGGAAATGAGACTTAAAAGTCCTAGTAACCAAAAATTAATATGTAGTGATACATGCGGATGTAACTAATCATGCGATTGCTAAGTGGGCACACAAAACATTTAACCGAACAATACTTTCAAACAAACCGAACAAGTATTTAATTTGCATGACTGCACCTTATATCCTCCTTTCGCCATGCTCGGACGCCAAATCACCCGGCCAAAGGTGAGTTGGACCAAGCGACACGCCACTCATTGGGTCCAATGAGGGCTTACCACGTGGTAATAATTAACCGAACAAAAATTCTCATTAACACCATACA